TTACTGGTATTGCTTGCCACAAACAACGATAAAATGTGAAAACTTTTCATATATACCTCATGATTACAATATAAAATTTGCTATGGTGCCTATTGTGAATCTGTTCTATCGGTGCGGGTCTAATTAAGTCATTGGTGGGACATATTCGTGGAATCAGATGGCACAGCTTTATGGAAATCAGAGGCATGACCAATAAATCTGCAATACTGTCAAGCAGATATTAGGCTTCATTAGCAGATCAGATTATTGTTTGTACTATTGACTATGTTGGCCAATAAGGAGGAGACTATAACTTGATCAAATATGATCAGTAGGATTGTTAAACTAGAATATCTTTAATATCAAACATCAGGGATGTTTGTCAGGTATTTCATTTGATGAATTAGAAAACAGCACCTTTCCCTTACTGATTATTTTTAATAATTAATAATAGACTCAGCTTACTTAATAAAATATAAAATGTCATATAAAAGTACATTTAACTGTCGATAAGAAGGGGTTTTATGGTATCACTCTACATGGAAGTTCATCTTGAACAAGGGGCTGCCACTTATAATTTTCGACACCTGTGATATCATTTGGCATGGTTCGATTTTTTTTATTTATTATTTAACCCACCAATATACAAAGAAGGGAAGCACTTACAAAAACAAAATATTTTTATTCAATTTTCCATTTAAGATTATCATACATTTTGCATTGAAACAAGCTTCATTTTGGTATGGTGAGGTCGCGTGTGTCCGTTTTGACGAAGGATCTTGGGGGGTTGAATACGTCGAATGCTTCCATACTCGAACGAGACACTTGGTTGGTTGATTTTAAAGAAATGTACACTTGCCTGAATAATCATGTGATAGATTTGAGCAAAAGTTGCATTTTAAAAAAAGGAAAGACTGCTTTAAAAAAGATTTATGGAGACATTCCAAACTATACAAACGAAAGATCCGGCAGGCCTATGTTCTGAGAAGGAGGTTCAGGCATGTGTTTGAGAAGCACTTTTTGGTTGAGCTTTGAAGGCAATGTTTGAGATGGCCTTGCTCGTGATGAGCCCATATGTCTGTCGACTGTGGTTGATGCTGTTTGTGTGTGCTGTGTGTGTGTGTGTTGTGTGTGTGTGTGTGTGTGTGTGTTGTAGGAAGGCAAAAACGGATGTGTATAAGAAGCACATGAACTCGTATAATGAGGAAAGTACTTGCAGTTGCTGTGTGTGTGATATTTTGTGTTTTTGTTGCTCAGCAGAAGGAAGAAAGTATTTGGTGAACCACTCCTGTTTTAGCCCCTCGTTCCCCCTCTGCTCCAGGATAACGGACCCCTTACAAAACAAAAGAAACACATGCATTGACTTTTTTTTAAATCAGTGTACTAATATCAGAAAATGGTTTTATTTGTTTAACCAGTTGAATAGTTGAGTATTAACTAATAAGCTGTTGATATTTAACAAATACTCTAATTTGTAGGCGGACTATTAAAACAAAGCGTTACCACAAATATATCTACACAAATAATGCTTGATTGATATGTACACACTCCCATATGTCAAGATCACATACATAAACTTAATTGAAAACTGATTCATTTTGCTTTATTAATTTAATATCATCACATTTTAATATGAAATGAAGCATTACTTGTGTGGATACATTGTATTTTGTGGTTTATTTCTCTAATTAGAGTGTAAGATGTTTTCTATTTTGACTTTTGTCCTGTATTTAGTGTTTATGCTTGTTGATTTCCTGATTACGTGGACATGTTTTTGGTTCCAGCTGACTGTGGTATCTTATCCCGGAGAAGGCAAGGTTTGCCAAAACATTTTTTAGATTTGTAACAAGATCATAAAATGTTCATACCTGATTGAGTGGGCCTGCAGGTGTGCATGTGGCTCCTGACAGGAAGGCGACACGTAGCGGATGCCCGTCTGCGGCGACGGGCAGACAGGGAGCGGGGCGGTGGGCGCTGGGGTGGGAGGGATGCAGGAGGCCCGGGATCTGGTGGAGCGAGGGACGGAAGGGGAGGACTGTTGGCTGAGGGAGAGGGAGGTGTGCTTGTGTGGAAGGGAGGAGGTGGAGTAGTGGGGGGAGGTCTGAGGGTGGGAGGTGGACTGGTGGGGCAGGGTTGAGGAAGAGTGCTGATGGACGGAGGAGGAGGAGGAAGACGATGAGGAGGAGTGGGGTAGGAAGATGCTCCTGTCGTAAGTACCGGCGCTGGGGATGCTGGTGACACGAGGAGGAGACTCCACCCGCTTCCTCTGTTAGTAAAAAGCAGAATAGTTTATGTTGGTGTTAGAATACGGGAGTGTTTCTACTGCCTCGTTTCATTGATTTCAAGGGAAATTTTACTAAATCCAACACAGTGGCAGGTATTGGAATAACTATATAGAAATAGCCAATGTTCTTACTAATGATCAGGTGTGCTTAAGTGCTGTAGGTCATATAGAGACATCAGTATTAAATTGAGACTGTTTCAGTTAACCAGTTAAAAACTCCTTGAAGTAGGTTTATGTGTCCTCTGTGATAGATGTAGCTGATGCCTGGGTGTTAATGTGGAAGAAGTTCACCAAAAGAAAGGTATAGTTGTTCTAAAACATGCCTTTAGTATTTACTGTGTGGAGGTAAACCAGAACTGTGCAGACTGCAACCATGATGCTGTTGACAGATTGTTGGTGATGTATTTGAGTGTTGCTGAAAATGACTTAGAGGACATGATAAATTTGATTTCATATGAAGCGTCTGACGTCATTTTGCCTGAGCTGCACCGAGTGGCAGTGAGGGATGAACTGGAGAGTCTGGATTTAAAGTGATACTCCGCCCAAACTACTTTATATCATGAGTATGAAACAATCACCCATTCTAGGTTGTAAGATGTTGGTATTTACCTTCTTTATGAAGAACAGCATCTGTGGTCAGCTTCAATTCATCAGCATCAGTTACAAAGTCTCCAAACATACAAAGTTATTAAACAGTCTTACTTAATACTGATGCCTCATATAAAACGTTATGTGCCACACAAAGTCACACTTGTATTAATGTCAAATAAAATTTGAAGTAGGACCATCACTCATGAAATATTTATAAACAAAATATAAGAATTCATCTGAAACTTTGTAAAATTGCATCAAAGCAGCAACACACCCATTTAAACCGTCACAGGTCACAGCATTAATAATGACTAAGTACTAAAGTACGAGTCAATTAAAAATGAATTCATCATTTTTTCTATATTTGTATATTGTAATATGGATGTCACTAGGGATGTAAGAAAATATCAAAATAAAATATCTTGAGTATCTCAATATTAGTTTTTTGTGATATTGTATCGATTCTTAAAATTGTGTTCAAACCCCAAACACTCGATATTAGTGTTGTAAACGTAAACTGAGGGCTACGATGTTGGACTGCAACAAAAACAAATGTAGATTCCGCTGGTTGCATAAAAAAAGTTAAAAAAAAAAAAAAAAACATTATGTAACTAATGAATGCCTGAATATGATGATGTGTTATTTATACAATGACAGTTTTCCTAAAATGTTGCAATATATTGAATCATAACCTCTGTATAGTATTACATGTTGTATCCCCAGATTCTTGCCAATACACAGCTGTAGTTGTCACAAAATCCCACAGCACACCTGGACACCATTTGGAAACTACTGCTCTATATGACCTACATAACCATCAGTGAGGTTGACACTGGCTATTTCTATATAGTCTCCAGAGAAGTGGGTTACCCAGGCTGACCATAGCATCCACTCAAAAAATAAACTATAAAGTGTTAAACAACCATCTTTCAACTCTACAGAAGATGGATGTTTGATAAGAGAAAGATTTTGGGTGAAGTATAATTTCATATACAGTCAGTAAACAGCGCACATGCTTCAATATTTACTTAGATTTAGCAGCCCAGATGGTCTGTGAACACTTAACTGACAACACAAATTAATGTAGGCACGTTAATGCACACTGAATCCTGCACTCCAATTATGATTTAAGATGCTTTCAGTTTTTAAAAGAAAGGACTTTCTCAGTGTAGCTCAAATAAAATCGGCAGATTATATATCTACATACGAAAAGCCAATAAATAAAGTTAAATAAATAAGTTACTTTAGATCAAATTCCAGTCAAATTGAGTCAAACATATGGTCCAAGATTACATCATTAGACTTGTTTGCATTCTTTAGGAACCACATTTCCCCCCCCCGTATATTCAAGGTTGTGTCTTTGCCGGCCAAACGTAATGTAATCATAAGCAGTGTGGTGGACACAGAGGGGCAGAGTCTTCCCAACATACTGGTGATCTGTCGAGTGAGAAGTTGGCTTCAGCCCAGTGAGCACTTCTGGCTGGAAGGAGGCCTCGTTTTTTTGATGAATACATTATGTGCCTGAGCGGAACAGACAAACTCACCCTCATGGTTGGCGTGACGCTCCCGGGGCGGGACTTGCTGTCACAACGCCTGAGGGTGCTGTTGTCCCCGGCAACAGGAGGGTGGAGCTGCAGCTGATGCCTCTCTTCCTGGAGGGAAGGAGGATGAAGAAGGACTTTCATTGGCCTTATTCACAGTTGGTGTTGTTGCTGTTGTATTAGCGTTGTGTCTGGAGGGTGTACTTGTTTGCTGAACTGCCTCGTGCCACACAGATGGTAGACACAGCGCTCTGGCAGAGGGCACTTTAAAAAATTAAATTTTTTCTATGTATGGTTAATGAAGACACTGTTCCAATTTGATTTTGTTTTGAGTGGTTAAAGTCATTATATTTCAGTCATTATGTTTCACAACGCTGTTAATTGGCTCCAAAACTTTCTCAAATTCCACCTGTCAGGTCATTTTCCACCATGACAGCTGACCACTGTTGGAATTCTTCAGCAGTTTTTCCTAATTTGAATCAAAGAAGCTTGTATTCCCAGTTTTGCAGGTTTCAATACTCTTGATTGATCTCAACTAAGGGTCCACCTACTCACTAGTGCTGTAGCTTTTGACTGTATCTGAACATTTTGCCTTCATTGGATAGCAACAGATTAGATACACACAGACAACATGAGGGTGGGAAAAGGGTACAACAGCAAAATCCCCTGGAGGGAATCAAACCGGGGACATTGCAGTTAAATGGTATGCATCCTAACCACTAGGCCATCAGGACACCTGACCTACATGCATAGAAGTGCTCATATTAAAATAAATTTTCCCTGGCAGCCACTAAATCTGCTAATGGGAACTGTGAGATATGTTGAAAGCTGCACAATAAGTGAGTAAGTGGACCTGTAAGTGGAGATTGTTTCGTCAAGCTCAAATATCTTGACTGTCTGGCTTGTGATCTTCAGTCATTTAGAAAATAAAAATCTTGGAACAAAATATCATTAAGAGTATTACCAGAGACAGTTTATGGTGTACTTAATACCCTGTTGTACTGTTATACGGCTTAACTGGAGGGATACTAGTTGCTTGGGATACACAGCACATTGCACAAACAAGGGGCTGATGCTATACTATATCTATGTCTGTCTGTGGTGATCAGCACCAAGCCCATTTGTTCCTACTTAATATGTGACTTTCTTAAAAACAGGTCACAAATATATAGTTTCATTCTTGAAAAAAACAACCCCCAACTCCCAAAACTGCTGGACACTTCTGAGTGGGCATTTATCAAACAGGAGCATTTGTTGGCGACATTTTTTAGCCAGTTTTGGTTCTATCGTGAGCATATTCGGCAGCAGGACCATATGGGGGATCATCTCTAAATAAACTACAGTGCCCAGTTTATCATAATGTAGGAACATGTCAGTGCAACAGTGTGGCTCAATGAAGTGGAGCTCTATGGCACAGAGGAATAAGCTATATGAGACTATACAGACATTACTTCAGTTCACCGTTTGTCTTTTTGTCTGACAATAAGAACAAAATAAAATGTAGCATCCACACTGAAACAATAACTTGTAAACAGTGGCCTGAAGCACGCACTGTGCGCTTCCAGGTGTGTCGGCAGCTTGGATACAAGGACCAAACTTCAGATTCCCTATCAGCACTAAAGAAGGTTGGGTCTCAGGTAAAATGATTATGTGTAATTTGCAGCCTAAAAGGACGTTATATATAGTATAGTATATAAGTTGTATACCACATTATCATTCATCAAATCGCTCTGAAAGTGATCTCGATGGTATCAACAGCCACTGTCGTTGTTGTAATAGTTATAGTAAGTTATAAGTTATAGTTTTTGTTCTTGGTGTGGATCAACGTGAGTGATCTGAAGAGGTAAACAAGTGAAGTCCGTAGCTCTCACCACTAATCGTTTAATGAGCTGGTCTCTCTCGCTCAGTCTCTCCTGAAGTCTCCCCAACTGCTGGTCATCACATCGAGGCTCCCTCCTCCTGCACCGCTCCTCTCGCTCGCGCAGCCTGCAGTTAAATCATATACACAAACACACAACTTTTCTCTCATACCTGTCCCGTATATATTTATTTCAAACTTCTGTGTGTCCCGCGTGTCTGTCCTCTACTCACTCGTTCTCCAAGGCCACTATGCGAGCCTGCAGGTGCGTCTGGGCGCTGCTGTATTCAGACACCAAACTCTGCATCTCCCTCTTGTGCTCCCTCTTGATCTCCTCCACCTCCTCTCTCCTCTTCTCCTCCTCCCGCTCCTTCTTCTTCTCCTCGTCCACCTCCTCTTCTTTTACGTCCTCCTCTTTCCTCTCCTCCCAGTGTTTCTGCGACTCCTCCAGTTTCTCCATCTCCACCCTCAGTTTCTCCACTTCCTCCTTCAGACGTTGTGCTTCTTCTTCCAGCTGGGCGTCTCTCTTCTTCTGCAGATCTAGGCTTTCCTCTTCTTTCTCTTCTGTTTCAGGATTCGCCTGTACTGACCTGGGAAGGGACAGCGGATACAACAGCAGGATGGAAATAATGACAATTATGTGCCACTACCTCCTTCTGTAACCTGTGCCATATTCTATTTTAACTTAAATCACATCTGTATACAATTATTTTATATAGTGTACATCCAACCACAATTACATGTTTTTCTTGATATCTTGTATTTTTATTTTTTATTTTGTTATTTAATATTTATTTTTTTCTTATCTGCTATGTTATATCTGGAGCTGCTGTAACAAGTGAATTCCCCCAGAGTGGGATCAATAATATAGTATAGACCAGCAAATAATAAAGCTCAAATATTATTAATATTATATATATTTTCTGTCAAACAGCCTACTGCAGTGACACTATAAAATATTTTTAACCCAGATGTGTAGAATATTTTAGATATATTTAAACAGAACACGTTTTTTTCACTCCAACATCTTTTGTCAGTAAATACACATTAGTGGTAAACAGGCATAAGAATACAACAATGTGGAAATTAAATCAAATTTAGTCCATTTTCACACATGAGATAATCGTTTCCACCCTCGTGTCTGTGTGTTAAATATTAAGCTACAGCCAGGAGACAGTTAGCTTAACCTACAGAGACTATGAGTGTGTGCAACGTTCAATAATATACTTATCAGCAACTGTAAAGCTCACTAATTAACACGTTATATTTACTTTACATTGTCACCTTTGGACAGAGTCCGGTTAGCAGTTTCCCTCTATTTCTAGTCTTTGTCCTAAGCTAAGCTAACTGGATGCTGGTTGTAGTTTCCTTTACCTACCTTCCTTTTACAGACATGAGAGAGTTATTGATCTTCTTATTGAACTGAACATTGTATTATTATTATTATTATTATTATTATTATTATTATTACTATACTGCTTCTAATTTGGTATACAACTTAGTGGTTAGTTATTAGTTTGTGTCCTGACTCCAAGGATATTAGAGATCAAAAGATTAATTCATTAATTGATTAGTAAATGTGAGGATTGTATGCTTTTGTTATATATGACTGTACACCAAATATTAGTGTTAGACTGTTGCATGAAACAATCAAACTGAGGTTTGTGACGTTCCTTTGAGCTTAAGGAAACTGTGATAATTTTTCTTAATTTTCAGACATTTAATCTAGAAAAATGATCAGCCAATTAACTGATAATGAAAACAACAACAATAGTGGCAGCCCTGAAGGATATCAGTGATGTACATGTGCCCACTTCCCTCCTTACCTTTCCTTTAATTGCTTTTTAAGTGATGCATTTTCTCTTTGCAGCTCCAGCATGGCACAGCGACTCTCATCCAGCTGTCGCTCAAACACCTGATACTGGTTCTGCTGCTTCAGATCCTACACACACACACACACACATACACAGCATGCATACAGTAGATACACATTATAAATATCTGCATTCATTCACCTGTCAGTGGGTGGGATATATTAGGCAGCAGGTAACATTTTGTCCTCAAAGTTGATGTGTTAGAAGCAAGAAAAAATAGGGAGGCGTGAGGATCTGAGCAACATGACTATTATGGCCAGTCAGTGGTCATAATGTTATGGCAGATCAGTGGGACAAAAAATACATATAACTATGTATATATATATATATATATAGTTATGTATAGTTAAATATACATACACACTGTGTGTGTCAAAGAGCGATTATATAAGTGAAAGACAAACCATAACACACACAAACAAAGAGACTGAGAGGTGTGTGTTTGTGTGTGT